TTTTTTTTTTTTTGAAAGCATTTGGCAAGATTTTAGCCATTTTGAGTTGTTCCCGAATTATGTTGAGCTTTACCACTTCGTCCTAAACATTTTTGCTGGCGAGTTGTTATGTGGTACTGTGCCAAGCAGATTTCGTCAGCCGTTGAAGGGGAAATTTTAAAAAAATTAACAGACGTATGAATGTTGTTTCTTCTGTTAAAAAGTTCAGGAATTTAAAAAAAAAACGGTAAATTTACGCATAAATTACATAGGTTACACACGTTAGACTGCAAATAATCGCGATTTTCCGGACATTTGTTGCGGGAAATCTAAAGTCACTGAAATGCCTCTGTGCTCCAGATGTAGCGTCTTAGGCTTTTGAGTTCATAGGTGTTATGGTCAGATTGTTTTCACCTATTATGATATGTATTAAAGGTTGAAGAGGAAGTATGAAGAAGGAAAGAAAACAAAGAAAACGAGGGAAAGCGTAGTAAGATGGGAGAGGGGGCTGAGGAGATTTTTGTAATAGATAAGAAATTTTCGGTAAGATATATATGTTAAAAATATTGTAGTTCGGACATGTTCAGCCAAAAGAATAACAGCGCACAGCTTGTCGAAGCTGTTGACAAACTCATCAACAACGACAGTCCACATATACAGGTGTTTTTAAATGTCGCTTTTTTTTTTTCAAATATTTACAATCACTGCGCAATACTATATAAGGAGGAGTCATTAGTACGGTTTTAAAAAGCATAACTGATAACTCGAGCGGTTTTGGTATTCTTGATACCATAATTACCATAAACAGCTGGATAATCAGTGTTAGTGATGTTGCTGGAATGCTCCCATATGCTAGACACAGCTTCGATCCTGAGCTGCGTGTCTGCGATTGGTACTTACCGCTTGTTCTTGTCTAGATACCTCGCAATTTTTCTGTCCCATTCTAACAAAACAGTTTAAATTTTAATCAAATTCATACTAATAATCACAATCGTCGTACTGACAAGGTCCAATTGTGGTAATGGTAAGAAATTTATACGACTTAATGGACTGAAAAATTTCTTACCATTAAAAAAATTTTCGAAATTTTATTAGTTCTTTTTTTTTAACGAAAAAATATCGTATTTTATTTTATCTTATTTTATTTTCATGCAGATGCCATACTTATACTTGTTTAGATGCCTTCCAAGTAATTTTTGTGTGGGCACCGTAACTTATATGTTAAGAAAAGCTCCAATCCTACACTGGTTACATACTTGATACTTTGTCATCATACTTGATACTTTATCATAATACTTTATTCTTTCATAAGTTTTATTCGTCATACTTTATTTTTGATACTTAATTTTTTCATACTTTACTAATCATTTCATGGCTCATTATTTGGTCAGCTTTCTGTCGTCTTTTTGAAATCTCTT